TGCAGGGGCAGTGTAAGGTTCCTGGGGCCAGCTCAGTGCTGGTCTCAGCCTTCCCTACCTCACCTGAGGTGTTCCCCTGGGACAGCTAGCGGCAGCACAAGGTGTACCGCGGTTAGTTTTCACCAGGAAACCAAACGTCCACGCTTGTGTAGACGTGGCAACTACATGTTATAGAGGTGCGCCACATCAAGTGCACTTCCTCTCCAAGGAAAGAGATGATCAGGATATCCCGTCCAACTGCTCCTCTCCGTCTTTCCCTTACTTTCAAAGCCTTCTTCAGTGCAGTCTCTTGGAACATATCAAGAGCAAACCCTGTACATAGATTAAAAGACCCTACCTTATCTGCCTTTTTTGCAGCAGAAGTGCACTGCTGAAGGAATGACTTGAAGAAAAACTACTTTTGAGCTTACTCATATTTCTTTTTTCTTTTTTTCCTCAGTGAATGCACACTTGACGGCAAAATCAATTGCAAGCACGATGAACACGGTATGTTGACAAAGCAGTTTCAGTTCGAATATGAAGGACGTGGTGGAATCTGTTTCAAAATCTCAGTGTCCAAGGATGACATTTTCTTTTGATTTACAGCCTGCAATTGCACATATGATGGAAAGACTTATCCATATCATGCTGTCATCTACAACACTACAGATGGTATTGGTGCATGTATTCTTGCAACCTGTGGCCCGAATGGAACAATCAACAGAACTGTCTATGAATGTCCTGTAACCACAACACCATTTGTATTTACCTCTTCAACACCTATAACTACCACTACAGGTACCTTCTGTAATAAACATGTTGAGATTTCTCTATTTACCATTGAGAAAAATTTACCTAACAAACTAAGTACATACTTATATTTCCAATGAATGAATCAGAAAGTTAAAAGTCAGTGGGCACGTCTACATGTGCCCCCCACGGTGCTGTTGTTACTGAGCCGTATTTTTATTACTTCCTTTTGGAACACAAAATAATGGTGCCTGGTTATTTTTAGATGCTACATCACTGTAGCAACACACTATAACGAGGTAGCTCATCAGTACATAGATATTGTGTCAGTGTTGCAGTTTGTGCCCAGCGATGCTGCATCTTCATAGCGACAAGCTACATCACCATAACGCGATGCTATAGTGATGTAGTGTCACTTGTAGATGTTTCCAATAAGTCCTAACTCTTTATTTGCATTTTCTGCATTGATTGGGGTTCCAATCACTAGCTAGTAAAGAAATGTAAACACAAAACATAAAGAAAATACAATCGCTGTACAAGATTTTGATGCTATTCTTGCTATTTAGACTGATTCAACAGAAAGCAATGACCTAGGATCATAGGAAAATAGGGCTGGAAAAGACCTCACAAGGTCAACTAGTCCATCTTCTTGCACAGGGCAGGATCATCCTTGACTAAACCATCCCAGCCAAGTGTTTTACCTGTTCTTGAAAATTCCCAGGAATGAGATGTCCACAATCTCTCTAGGTAGCTTATTCCAATACTTGACCACCCTCATAGTCAGAAAGTCCTTCCTAATCTCCAACCTAAATTTCCACTAGTACAGCTTAAGGCTGTTGCTCCTCATTATGCCCCTATATATCTTGTATAGCTGCTTCAACCCTACTGTAATTATTTTATGATTAAATGGAGGAATAAAGACAATGTAGTATATTTTTTTAATAGCAAATCAATGTAAAAATATATTTGCTGCATAATCAGACCTGATCTAAAGCCCAATGAGTTCAATGATATTTACCTATTGCATGCATTACGCTTTGGATCGGGGTCTTAATGCTTAGGAGATGGTGCATAAAAAGATAAGCAGGCTTCACAAAATGGGAAATTATATGGAATTCCATGCAAATATATGTATTTTCCAAGTGTTTAAATTATGGAAGTGCAACTAAATTATCATTTTAGGCAGGTGATCTTCATCCTGGCACTTCACAAGAGGCAATGCAAATTCTATTATAAGTTGTACCTCTTCATGCCAATAGGTTTATACATTGAGTGTTATTATCTCTATTTTTAATAACGATACCAATTATAATCAAACTAACCTGAAATGGTTGTCTTATAGGCTTAACATGCTAGAACCTTGCTTTAGAAAAATATTCAATGTATGTAGTATAACGAAAAGGAGAATATTTATGGGAACTTTTTAGTAAATTCAACTTAAAACAGAAAATATAGTAGTATACTTTTTAGTATAATTCTTTTTATGTTTGTTTATTTTGTTTTTTTGTTTTTAATCACAGTACCATCAACTATACCACTATGTGTTCATGAAGTATGTAAATGGTCACAGTGGTATGATGTGCATTATCCAGGCAATGGGGAAAATGAGGAAGACTTTGATACATTTGATAACTTAAGAGCTGAAGGTTACAAAATCTGCAAAGCTCCAAAGGCTGTTGAATGCAGAGCAAAAGACTATCCAACCACACCGTTAAATGAACTTGGGCAAAAAGTAGAATGCAATACAACAGCAGGTCTTATATGTTATAACAAGGACCAAAATCCAATGAAGTGTCACAATTATCAGATCAAAATCTACTGCTGTACTTTTGTACCATGTGGATACACAACTACAACTAGCATAAAGTCAACTGAAACAGCAACTACTGTCACAGAAACTATCCCTCCAGAAACCACTACAACTTTTGTACATTCCACAGATACACCACAACCTACCTCCACAAAATATAAAACAACTACCCTATCAACGAGTACCATGACAACCACAACTCTTTCAACAACTTCAGTCCCAGAAACAACCACCATGACAAGCTCCATTCTACCAACCACAAGTGCAAAACCTATAACCACTATTTCTTCAACAACTGCTGCTTGCACAAAGGAAATCTGTAAATGGTCACAGTGGTATAACATATATTACCCAAAACAAGGAATCAACGGTGGAGACTTAGAAACATTTAAAAATATAAGAGAAAAAGGATATTCTGTTTGTGAAACACCAAAGAATGTTAAATGCAGAGCAGTAAGGTTCCCCAATACTAGTTTGAAAGATTTAAACCAAAATGTTACATGCACCAAAACTGAAGGCTTGATATGCTATAACAGAGATCAATTCCCACACATATGCTTAGACTATGAAATACAAATTGAGTGCTGCAAAAATGAAACGACACAATGCCCAACAACTCTAACAACAAAACCAGTTGTAATACATACACGGACAACAACAGTTCCCACAAAACATCAGCTTACTCAAAAACAAACAACCAAAACCAGTACAACCATGGAAACCAGCACAAAGATCATTGTAACAACGCATGCCACAACCCCGGGAACCACAACACACAAGACACCACCACCTACGATAGAAACCAGCACACCCTTAAAAACTGTGCCCCCCGTAACAACAACATCTAAAACAGCATCAGCACCTACCAACCTACCCACCAGAGCAACACTAACCACCACCCAGGCGGCCACAACAAGCAGCACACCGACTCCGACCACACTAATCAGCACCACCACTGTCACTGTTCCAACCAGAACCAGAGCCACAGAAACATCCCCACCACCTACAACCACAGAAACCAGCACAGAGGTCATCTCAACCACGCATCGCACAACCGTGGTCACTACACCCCTCACGACGCCACCTCGTACGACAGAAACCAGCACACCCGTAACTACGGTGCCCCCTCCAACAACAACTTCTCAAAGCCCCTCCACAACTACGACCCTGCCAACCAGCACAAAGACTACAATTTCCACCCAAAGCACAACGCAGACTCTCCCGCACACCTCCACAACTGTCACAACTGCCACCCAGACCACCACCCACTTGTCTACACTCTCCACCCACTCGAAAACAACTCCAACTACTACAACCCAAGCACCCAGCACGAGCACAAAGGGCACCACAGGCTCTCCATCCACCGTAGTGCCCGCAACACTGGCCCCAAGCACCACAACCACTACAGCAACTACCGCTTGTGAGCCGGTATGCACGTGGAGCAAATGGCTTGATGTTGATTTCCCCAACTCAGGACCATCAGATGGAGACATAGAAACCTACCACAACATTAGAGCAGCAGGAGGGAAGATCTGTGGACAGCCTACACACATTGAGTGCCGTGCTGAGAACTTTCCTAATATAAGCATCCACAATGTCGGTCAGAAAGTGAGTTGTGACATCAATTTTGGGCTCGTGTGCAAAAATAAGGAGCAAGTCGGGAAGTTCGAGATATGCTTCAACTACCAGGTACGTGTCAGGTGCTGCACACCAAACCCCATCTGCTCAAGTCCAACCACCACCCCGGCGACCACAACAGCCAGCACACCGCATCCGACCACACTAATTAGTACCACCACTGTCACTGTGCCAACTAGAACCAGAGCCAAAAAAACATCCCCACCACCTACAACCACAGAAACCAGCACAGAAGTCATGTCAACCACGCATCGCACAACCGTGGTCACTACACCACTCACGATGCCACCTCCTACGACAGAAACCAGCACACCCGTAACTACGGTGCCCCCTCCAACAACAACTTCTCAAAGCCCCTCCACAACTACGACCCTGCCAACCAGCACAAAGACCACTATTTCCACCCAGAGCACAAC